TGTCGCGCAATGAGGAAACTACTGGGTCCGACTCCACGAACGGTTCGCTCCGTCTGTCAGTTTTGTTTCTCGACCAGGCAGCACCTTACCTGGCAATTGACTGCAATTGAAGATCATGTCCTCAAAGACAGCCGAGCTTTCAGTTTCGAGAAACACCCGCCTGATGGGCAAAATCCTCAGAGGCGAGGTACAGCTGTATTGCGGGATCCGCAACTTCCTCAACGGGAAGTGGCCAAGGCAGCCGCGCCGGGTGCCGATGCCGGTCAGAAAGCGGGTCCCGGTCGCGGGTCCGAAGTGGGTCTCTCGCATCAGGCCACCCTCTTCCCCTCCGCCCCTGTTCAGCCACACTCAATTGCAACAACGCAAAGAGAACTTTCGTTCTCATTCGGCATCGAAGGCGAGCTATGTCAGCATCGCCCTAAAGCAGAATTGGCCAGACCGCAGATGACATGAATCGCGGCAAAATTCTCTTGTTTTTGTTTCAGCATGGATTTATTGCAACGGAGTGAACAACTTCCCTTCAATTATTCAGTTACCTCCGCGTCAGATAAACACCCCTGCATTATCTCTCACGCCGAGTGGACGATTCGGACCCACGCACGAAAGAAAGTTTCTGCCTGAACGTACCCTAGATGCCAAGAGGATCAACCTTGACTTCTGGGCACCCCTCTGTGCCCTGGTTCTGCAAGCAAGGGGATGGCAGAAGGGACGGGAGGGGCTTTCAAGGTTGCCGCATGCGCATGCACTCGACTGCTTCTGTGGATCAAAGCTGTCGAGAAACTGACGATGTCACGGCGGCCGACCTAGATGGAGAAAGGCAAGAGCCCGTCTTGGTTTTTTAGAGCCGCATGATGTGATGGTCCCCCAAGCTCTTCAGCCTCAGCCTTGACTGCTGGGTATTCATGATCACCGCTGCATTCAACCAAGGGGCCGCTGCCACTGCTACTCCGTACGCACAGCACAACTCAGATCATCATCAGGCATGACTGGGGCGGGAGCATTTGGGGGCACATCGGATTCCTCGGACTCGGTTCTGTTATTGACACCCAGATGCTTAGCAGACAAAACTTGAGGAACGGAAAGAAGTCCAGCCAATGTGCAACTTCTCAAGCAGAGTTCAACCAACAACTACAATGGACCAACATGCCCTCCGACACTAACAAAACCTTCGCCCCCGTCTCCCGTCTAGATACGGCCGCACCACCTCGGCGGAGGAGAGTCAGTAGCTGGCAATTCTGATCAAGGGAAGCATTGGAGATATCTTCAAGCGGAGGAAGGAATTCGTTTCAGCATCACTAAAACTCCTTAGCGCACTTGAGGCACCATACTGGCATACCTTAGTGACGCTCCCCAGACTCTCGTCTCCGTCATTGACATCGAGCAGGGCCCTCACCCCCTGATCCCTGCTGACTAACCCCAATGGGCCGTGCACATGGATCTATTTCGGGAGATCCCCTCGTCGGCGGGTCCCGTTTTTCCGTCGCTGACATGGAAGGGTCTGGGGGTCCTGTCTTGCTCCACCTGCTGGGCAGCAGCGCCCTCACCTCTGCCATCCTGCGTCCCACGTTTCCTGCCCCCAATTGTTTGACACACAAGGCAGTCAGTCCACCACTGCCTTCGCCGTGATTCCTCATCTCTCCCACCTCGTCGTCACACTCCCCAGCTGCTCACACTCCCATCCACCGAAGCTCTCAGCATTTGCCGTTTCCATCACCTCACCCCGGACCTTTGCCGCACAGCAGACCACCTGAGTCTTTACCCTGCACCTGCGGGGTGACCAAGGCCGCACCAAAGACGGCCTGATCGAAAAGCCCGTCTTAGGCGACCTACCTCTGTCAGGATCGCCGTGTCGTTGGCTTCTGCAACCCCCAAAGCGCTGAAACGGCCCCCCCTTCTGGACTTCGTGCATCGGCTAGGTCATCGGGCCAGCAGCGCCGTACGCAACAGAATCGAAGCACGCACTATTGCACACGACCTGGGCCGAACAACAATCGTCTGTCTCGATGTCGTGGCATCCCGATTATTCAACGCCTGATGCCTCGGGGCCAACACCAATCTTCAAAGCCGTTATACGTTCCACAGCAGCGCCGCCACAACGCGGGACAGCTACTTGAGATCGGACGAAAGAAGAGTACCGTCTGAGGCAAGGTCTGGCTTGGGATGAACCAAAGTCCATCCGCAACGAACGCTGGCCACTCAGGCTTCTTCCTTCTGCGGCGAAACGCGTTGAGAACCCGACTTTCGACGTCCATAGCGTACTTCTACTACTTCCCTTGCCTGAGGTAAGTAGGTGTACCTAGGCCACCCAATCCTCCCAGTCACGCCGAAATAGTCCAGTCGGATTCCAACAACCTGACAACCTTCAACAAACAAACTTCTCACCAGCGTAGATCTATATCCTTTACGAGGGTTACAGCAACTCGACCGTCGCAACCGCAACCCAACAGCACCACTGCCCCCATCCTTCACGGTACGCCAGCCGTGCCAGCTCAACAACGCGCCTGTCGACTAGTGTCTCCGGCTACTCGGTGGTCCGGCTCTCCCCCTCACACTAAATTCCGGGAATCTCACCACAGTGCAGTCGAGCTGTGCTCAAGGCACCAAGGTTCTCACCTCATCCCGGGTCGACTTCTTACCCGATACTCCATGCCTCTCACACAAACATATCCGCAAGGGAGCTGAGTCTTCATACCACCTACTGTCCAAATTGAGAAAGCACGCGCTCACTCATCCCGCGCCGCCCATCCACGGCTTACGAGAGAAACGCGCAGCCAGTCCCGATACCTCCGCATCACCTCATGCTGCCGCTCTCAGGTCCCCGCTCCTTCTTCCCTTTGAATTCGATGCGGCCGGAGACTATCCCAACGATCTTCGGTCCAATGCGGAAAACATTTCGAAGTAGAGTAAACCTGCACATGATCTCGGGGACGAATCAACAGGAGCCCCTCGCATAGTCTTATTAGGACTCTCGTACTCGGTGATATTTCCAATGCAGCGTCTCGAAGGATACCTCCGTTCTGAGATTGATCACACCTACAGTTTCACACCTATAATTCGGGGCCTTTCGACAGTCATACCGGTCAGGTGGTGGTCCACCAAATCCAATTCCTCCATCTCCACAGTCCTCGCCTATTGAGGCCGAATTGAGACTCAGGCAGGGTCTTTGCAACTCCTTGACAGCGTAGATCTTTCCCACTCAGTCTTATCAGGCCGAAATCCAAAGTGGCCCCATCTCGCCATCACGGAGAACCCCCGACGTTTCTCGCTGCCTTAGACCGTCTCCATCTAGCCCTTGGTACTGAATAATGGCCGACTGCAAAGGCAAGACGCTCACAGCACCGAGCATTGCCTGTTTCAAACGAGACTCCAACATGCGAATTGGTTACAGTGCAGTCTGGGGGTGATAAACAGCGTTACATGGCCCCGTCGAACCCAAGAACGAGGCTTAGGCTTGCTCCCCAAGCCTCTGCTCCCAGCGTTCTGGATCGCATGAAGTTCGCTAATGCTACTGCTGTTGCTGCTACTCTTGTCCACAGTTATTCTCGTCTTGCCAAGGCATCTATACTGCAACACGGACTTGGGTGCTGACCCGATCAACCGGATTGTCGCTATACCCCCATTGCAAGTCACGTCAACGACACGCTCATTCCCTTGAGACTCAAGACAGAGAGGAAGATAGAGAAGAGCCGCCCACAGAGTAAGCAAGAATCGATCCTCCGTCGCAAGCGTCCAGAAATGGAGACACATCGCCTTGAAGCGGCCCCCCGAATGTGACCCTGAGGCGTGTTGGTTTTTTCCTCCAGGCCGCTGGCTAGCTGGCAAATCCTCCAAGTAGAGGATCACAACAACCAGACTTGTCTTCTTGGCACTTGATTTGCAGATGTGAACTAAGACTAGTCAAAAAACAAAGGGGCCAAGGCCATGCTTCTCAAGTAGGGATTATCCCCGAAGATCTTTGCAAAGAAACTACAGCCCAGCTATTTTCAGCCATTGACAGTGGCTGGTAAGCGAGCCCAGTCAACGGTACGGATAGCAAGTCCGTAGAGCTGAGCCGATTTGGTGTGGCTGGGGGAGATGCGGCTAGTGCCGAGCTGCAGATTGGTCGCTGGGGTGGCCCATGATGGACGACGAGCTAGGGTCCACTGCCCATTCAACTGACTCCACCCTACAGCATTACCCTCAAGTGGATGGGAACTATGTGCAATCAAAGCAGGTGATGCTTATAATTCAGTCTACTTGACGCTGTCTTCTCTAATAGCCCAGGTGTCGCTATTCTCGATGACCGTTCATGAATACCGTCAATCTCGCCATCATCCATCATCGACCTGACTTTGCTTTGAATGCCAATCCAAGTCTACGTTGTAATTGTAGCAATGCCTTCCATACTGCCGCAAATACCATACTGGTATAGCCAATGGCCAGCGTCAAATCTGCTGATTGTCCAGCCTGGCGGTGGATTTCCCTCCCGGCCAACTCGTACTGCCTCAACTCCACGGGGCTTGGTGTATGTAAGTAGGGTCGGTCTCACAATCAGGCTGGAACTATAGAGTTCCTTGTTGCATTCATCGCCGGTTGTATACTCCATTTCCATCTTGTCGTCATATGGCGTCCTGGGTGGAAAGTTTACCTTGGGCTGGTCCCAGTCTCGAGATGAAAAGCTGCTCATACTGCTGTGCAGGCTGCTGCTTGGGTCGCACTCACTGGACGAATCACAGCTGCTGGTATTACTACCTTCACTGCCTTAAGGCAGTTCCCGGAGAAAGATCTCGTTGTCGTCAACTTCCTCACTGACCATCCCCATGAACCATAAGTAAAGAGGTCTTACTTCCGTTGCCAGCTGGTCGGAAGTATCATCGATCTGCTCGTCAATGGAAAGAGAACCGACGGTAATGAGGCGCGGTTTGCGCTTCGGCGGAGATGCGGCGAAGCGCATGCGCAAGGCGTCGAATATATGACAAATGCCTGCTTCGCTGATGTAGACGTCGCACTTGTCGCCCTCCCCTGCTGAGATCTCCTAAGTCCTGAAGCCCCCAATGCCGTAGACAACTGTGTGTACGGGCTCTCCTCGGAGAACCTCTGGGAACAGGACTTTAGCTGCATTTTCTGGTGTCAAGTCTGCCGTGAAAACTGTCATGCGGTCAAGGTATTCCGTTCTGAAGTCATCCGCGTCGTCAAACATCTCCAGGAGACTTGCCTTGCATCTGACATCTGAAGTAGTCAACTCCTAAGCATCCACAAGAGGGGGTTAAGTGGTATGAGAGCCTTGGAAAAGACGGAAAATGGGCATGCTATGTCGCTTGTAGACTTAAGAGGTATATCCTTCACTTACACACATGGCAGAATATTGAGATATCCCGAAGAGCATGCATCAAACATCTGAACACGGTGTACCCCGTTGCTCCAAAGAAAGCGACATGATGCATCTTCCGGTCGATATGAAATGGAAAAGACGACTGGATGCTCAGATGCAGACCGGGGCCGAGTTTGATGGGGTGGTGTGGGATGAAGCTGTATTGGACTTGATCGTTGACCAGTCGGCCAAGGACATTGGATTGACGGCTTGCCATTTTCGCGGACGTGAAACACTGCAGCAGAGATCCTGCCGCAGAAAAGCCCCGATCTGAGGATTTGATTCGATGTTGAAAGGGACCGGTAAACAGTGGCGAAGCTGTATAGACCCTAGTTGGTGGTGGACGCAAATAGGTGCGGCGGAGATGAGTTCGAGGCACGTTAGCTACGCGAGGACCGCGAGTGTAAAGAAAATAGCCCGCGAGAAGACTGATGGAGCTGGCACCAAAGGTTAGAGGCGGATGGCGAGCCATGGCAAAGCGAATTGTGTGTTAAGCATACCCGAAAGGGATGGGAAGATGGCGATTGACTGCTGCTGGACGGTGATGTGTTGTTAATACGAAGGAAGAGGCACAGCGGAAAATTCTCCAAGAGGCGCACATTAGGTTCGCTCCCAAGCTGCTGATTGAGTCTTCCAGCGGACGGAAGGATGAAGCCATCGATGTCGGTCCGTTGGAAGGAAGGACCCCAGTAAGATACTCGACCTACTGCTCTAGCAGAGCGTGATTGTAAAGTACTTACCTTGGAAAGCATTACCAACAAAGAGGAGATTTGAAGTTGCGGAAGGATGACTGAGCGGGCGGAACCCCGGGTAGAATCTGAGCAGTGATCCAAAACGAGAAGCGCCATTCCTCACCAAAGCTATACACCGTAAGGTGGTGCCATGCCAGTCAGGAAGCGCCAGGGTCTCCGTAGCTGTCGAAGGGTGTGGCAGGACTAGTCTGGTCTGACCTCGAAATGGAAAGATCGTCGAAGGCGAAGGAAGCATCACACAGAGCAGGGGAGATACCTGCCCTGTCTCAGTATGTACGCCCTGAATCGAGGTATCTGCACTCCGATGTAAGCGCGGAAGGCTTCTTCTGCGACCATGACCTCGGCGGCGTGGTGGCTTGGGAAAGACACTCGACGTTGGCTGCCTTATGGGTCTGGAGAACGGGTACACGATGTAGGTAGCAAGGTAGCAACGGCGGCCAATGCAGTGCCATGCGGGACGAGTGCGAGAGACACAAATGCCTTAGACGCAGTGTATGCGGTAATTCGATACACAGCACAGGGCTGAGATGACATGCTGCTATGCCGCCTCGGCTTGGCCTGCAGGTGGAATTCCCTCGCAGTGGACTGCGTTCAGCAGCGGAAGCGGTGCAATTTCCCACATTGTCACGTTGTGTTTCAGGTCTTGTCGGTATCAACTGATGACCAAGCTGTGGGATTCTAAGCAGAAATTAGTAGTTGACATTGATTGACAAGGGACAGATAACGGAGTTTGGGTGTTCAAAGACCGAATAGAGATGATGGCCGGAGGTGTGGAGAGACGAAAAGAGGATGAGGATGTTGATCATGTCGGGATGCCATGTGGACTCGGTCCCGAAGAAGGCAAAACGAAGCAAAACGTGTTAATGGTGAATACCCAAGAGAATAGCATAGTGGAGAAAATGCGTGCCAGCGGGAGTCGGGACTTCCATTGTGAGTTGGAACTTGAGGTTATTCTGTTGCCTGCTGGGAGCAGCGGGACGGTGCAGGGCGCGATGAGACGTTGATGCTGCGAAGATGCACCAACAGGCCCGGCTGTGTTCGCTGCCCGCCTCTCCGCCCCAGAAACCCCTCAAGGTGCTGGGTGCGGAACACTGTATCATTTACTGTGTTCGGGAAGGATCCTGCCTGAGGGGTGAGAGTCGAAGAGGTACACCTGGGTGTCGACTTAATTAGGGCGGAACCACGGAGCGTGCAAGGGTCGCTTATCGAGCCAATGGAACACAAAGGCCTTCCCCGCTTACTCTGGGCCCACTTATAGCCCCGGTCATCCCAGGTCCCGTTCTGACTGCCGCAAGCCACAACACAGCGCCCCAAGAGTCCGTGACTAAGCCGAAGACTCGCCAGTGAAGCAACCAGCTCTGCTTCTCAAATCATCCTGTCACGTTCAGCTTCTCGTATATACGGATACGCACGCAGAATGCGCGCAGTACCTATTCACAGCTCAGTCATCATGTCAGACTCACAGCTATCATCAAATGCTGCACGTCCTCGGCCAAGACGAGACGGCTGAATCATTAGGCAATCAACACCCAAATGTCTCAGTTCGGGGCGGACAAATCCGTGAGCTTGGGATTCGTTACCACCCGATTGCGAATTAGATGGGAGACTAGTTCCACGAACCCAGCCCAGACAAAGACGAGATGGGACGAAAGCTCAATGCAACTTTGACAACCGCAGCGTCTGTAGTGTAAAGACGAGATCTGCTAGAGCAAGACACGACGGAAAGCCAAGTTTCTTAGTTCTACACGCCATGGATTGTCTCCGCCTCAGTCAGCATTGCTTGAGCACCCAAGCTGTTTGACCGACCCTCGCCGATCCTATACAGACGTCAATCAATCTCCTCAATTGGCGAATCCAAAGGTCCTTTGGCATAACTTGCCATTCGACTTATGCAAATCGTGCAGATACTTTCAGCGACTTCGCCCTTGTACCTCGTATGTACCGTAGGATGAACCCCTGAACAGCCACCATCTGACAAGGGAAGGATGGGCGGCATGACATCCACACAGACGCTGCCCCGTCCCAACTCTCCACCTCTCCGAACCTCGTTCAAAGCCATCCCCCGTTTGGGACATCGTCTTTCTTCAATCACTCGTTGCAGAAGCTGTCTTGTATCCTTCAAGGCGCGGCTGTGAGGCGCTCTCCGCGATACACGCTCGTCTATTCGTCAGCCCTATCATCTCCGTCTTGCCGCTACACATTGGCATCCGCGCTTCTGCGTTCCGTCTTACCCTGTGTGTGTTGCCTATCCTTTTGCCATGGGTTCGGCCAGCAATGCCTCCGTCAACATGCACCAGACTGCGCCGCGGCTATCGATGCCTCCACTTGCATCATGAGCACCGAAATAGTAGCCTCCGGAGTCACTCGGAGGCTCACAACTGACCGGAATCTGTCTCCGGGCAACTTCGGAAATCTTCAACGCGATACTCTGACTGAGGAGCCGAAAGTACTCCATCGCGCAGAGACGGCCTTGCATACCTCCAATGGCAGGCACCGATTTCCAGAGGAGCTCCATGGCCGATAGGGGAGCATCAACATCCTCTCTTCAGACATATAAGCTTGGGTTACAGTTCGTCTCAATCTCTTTTCCTCATCACTCTCAACACATCATCTCTCATAGACTCAGTTCGACTCTTCACTTCATGATCTTCAACCAGCAAAGTATCGCAGAGTTCCAGTTTCAGGGTTCTCTCACCTCAACCATCACCTTTTGATTCAGAGCATCCTACTTGTTCGCGGAAGATTCCATTTCTTCCCTTGTCCCTGAACTCAACTCTCGATACTTGATATCAACTTTTTCCCTTCCTGATAGCTGGCCAATTACCTTCGATCACGAAACACAATCGACAATCATCTTTGTCGATCACTTCCTCAGCAGACCAAAGAATCCAGCCAAGCACACCAAGCTCATCTAAATCTAGCTTATCCAGCTTCGCAACCGATCAAAATGTCTGCCCGAGTCAACGCCACTGAGAATGACCCCACCGTCATCGTCGGCCTTGCTTGCCGAGTCCCTGGCGCTTCCAACCCCAGCAAGCTCTGGGACCACATTGCCGCTCAGCGAGATGTCCAGCGCAAGATGCCCGAGGACCGCTTCAATGTAGACAACTACTGTGAGTGTCTTGATCCTCTCTGAACCATTTCACAGAGACTAACACTGTTCACAGACCACCCTGATGGCACCCGCAAGGGAACCGTGAGTTGATGACTTCAGACAAGACGCAACATCTGTAGACTAACACATTGATTTTAGACGAACGCTCGCTTCGGCTACTTCCTTGAGCAGGATATTGCTGAATTCGACAACTCCTTCTTCGGCATTTCTGGAAAGGAAGCCGATGCCATGGACCCTCAGCAGCGTCTGTTGCTCGAGGTCGTCTACGAGGCCTTGGAGAACGCTGGTATCACTCTTCAGGACATCAGTGGCTCTCAGACTTCTGTCTTCTGCGGTAGCTTCACCAACGACTATCTTTCCATGACTGGCAAGGACTTGACGGCGAACTACCCCATGTACCACGCCACTGGTACCGGTAACGCCATTCTGTCCAACAGAATCTCGTATTTCTACAACTTGCACGGAACTTCCATCACTCTTGATACCGCCTGCTCGTCTTCTCTTGTCTGCTTCCATCTCGGGTATGTTCGCAATCGCGTGGCTCTCTCTCTCCCGTGCTTCAGCTAACATGCTTCCTTCCCTAGCAACCAATCGCTGAAGAATGGCGAGGCTGACATCTCCATCGTTGTTGGCTCTGCTCTCCACTTTGACTCCAACATCTACATCACAATGACGGACCTTGGCATGCTGTCTACAGATGGCCGCTGCCGCGCTTTTGATGCTTCAGGAAGCGGCTACGTCCGTGGTGAGGGTATCTGCGCAGCCATCCTCAAGCGCCAGAGCGCCGCTGAGACTGCTGGCGACAACATTCGCGCCATCGTTAGAGCTACTGGAAGCAACCACGACGGCCGAAAGAACGGTATCACTTTGCCCAACAGTGTTGCCCAGGAGGACCTCATTCGTTCTACCTACGAGCAGGCCGGTCTCAACCCGCTGCACACACAATACTTCGAGGCACACGGTACCGGCACTGCCGCAGGTGACCCGATCGAGACCCGTGCCATCGGAGCAGTCTTCTCCCCCGGCCGCAGCAACCCCTTGTACGTCGGCTCCGTCAAGACCAACATTGGTCACCTTGAGGGTGCCTCAGGTCTTGCAGGCCTGATCAAGACTACTCTTGCGCTTGAGAACGGACAGATCCCTCCCAACATGCACTTCAACAACCCGAACCCGAAGATCATGTTCGATGACTGGAAGATCGCTGTTCCTACCAAGATGACTCCTTGGGAGGTGCCAGAGGGTATTGCCCGAAGAGCCTCAATCAACTCTTTCGGCTATGGTGGTACCAACGGACACGTCGTCTTGGAAGAATACAAGAAGAACGCTGCCCCCAAGACCCGCTCTGTCACGGCCATCGAGAACGGCGTTCACGCTCGCCCGTACCTCGTTCCGCTTACCTCTCACTCCGCAAAGGCTGGTGAGCTCACTGAGGAGACATTGAAGAGATACCTTGAGCAAGGAGATGTCAACGTCGCCGACCTCTGCTACAGTCTGGCCACTCGCCGCACTCTTCACGGCCAGCGTTCTTTCGTCGTTGCCAATGATTCAGCATCACTAGCCGAGCAGTTGACCATTGCCCGCCCTGCCGCCAAGTGGACTCTGGCCAACAAGTCTTCCCCCAGACTTGGCTTCATCTTCACCGGCCAGGGTGCCCAGTGGTTTGCCATGGGTCGCCAATTGATCGAGGAGAGCCCCCTGTTCCGCCAGAGCCTGAAGCGCTGCGACAGCATTCTTCAGGCGCTCCCCGACAGGCCCGAGTGGTCCATCCTCGAGGAACTTTGCAAGACCAAGGAGACTACTCTTCTTGGCGAGACACTCTACTCTCAGACCATCTGCACTGCTCTGCAGCTCGCCTTGCTCGAAGTTCTCAAGGCCTGGGGCATCACTCCCTCCGCTGTCGTCGGTCACTCCTCGGGTGAGATGGCCGCTGCCGCTGCTGCCGGTATCTTGACCTTTGAGAACGCCCTCATTGCTGCCTACTACCGCGGTCGCTACATGTCTGCCCCCAATGAGAATGGCAAGCCTGGTGGTATGATGGCTGTCGGCCTCACTGAGGCCAAGGCTCTCGAGGAGCTCAAGCCCTACAAGGGTCGCCTTTGCATTGCTGCTGTCAACTCCCCAAGCACGATGACAATCAGTGGTGATGAGGATGCTATTCTCGAGCTCAAGGACAGCCTTACCGAGAAGAAGGTCTTCGTCCGCCAGCTTATCGTCAAGCAGGCCTTCCACAGCCACCACATGAACGCCTTGGCTGGTGCTTACGAGAACGCGCTCAAGAACTGCAAGACCTTCACCACCCAGAAGCCTACTTGCCGTATGTTCTCCAGTGTCACCTCTCGCCTGGCTGATTACGAGTCGATGGGACCCAAGTACTGGGCCACCAACATGACCAACGCTGTCCGCTTCTCTGACGCTCTCACTGGCATCCTTCTCGACGAGGAAGATGAGCAGAATGTTGACGTCCTGATTGAGCTTGGCCCCCACCCTGCTCTGAAGGGCCCTGCTCGCCAGACCACTCAGTCTCTGAAGCTTGACCTGCCCTACATCGGCTCGCTGACTCGTGGTGTTCCCGACTTCGAGGGACTGCTCAACCTCGCCGGTACATTGTTCTCTCTCGGTTACCCTGTCGATCTTATTGCCGCCAACCAGAACTTGAGCTTGGGAGCGGATGGCAGTCTTGTCAAGGTTGACACCGGAGCCAAGCTCAACGACCTCCCGACCTACACTTGGGACCACCGCAGGTACTGGACCGAGACCCGCTACCTCAAGGAGCACCGTCTTCGCAAGTACCGCCACAGCCTTCTTGGCCACATCATCCCCGGTTCTATCGCCAAGAACCCCAAGTGGAGAAACTACCTGCGTCTCAAGGAGCTTCCCTGGCTCCAGGAGCACGTGGTTGATGGCAAGGTTGTCTTCCCTGGTGCTGGGTACATCAGCATGGCTATTGAGGCTGCTCTTCGTGTTGACGAGGTCGAGAGCGCCAAGATGATCTTTGTTAAGGATATCGTCATCAAGAACGCCCTTCTTCTCCCCGAGAGCGATGATGGCGTCGAGATCTTGCTGGAGCTGAAACCTGTTACGCTTTCAGCCAAGAGCCACTCGGAGACCTGGTACGAGTTTGCCTGCTACTCATATGACGAGAACAGCAACTGCACCCAGCACTGCCACGGTCTTATTAGCACCGAGAAGGGAGAGCCGGCCCCCGTTCCTGAGCCTGTCTCTGGCTCGGTCAACCTCGGCGAGCTGCTCAAGAAGACCAACCGATCCGTCACCAGCGGTCAATTCTACAACCAGCTTGCCGGTCTCGGTCTCGAGTACGGCGAGAAGTTCCGTCTTTTGAGCGGTTCTGTTGAATCAGGCCCAGGTTTCGCCCTGAGCGACCTCAAGTTCGACCCAAGCGCTCTTCCCCAGGAGCGAGGTGACGAGACTGTTGTCCACCCGACCCTTCTTGATGCTTTCTTCCACGTCATCTTCAACGCCATTGAGTCTCGCCTCGGTCGCCCTCTCGATGAGCCCTATGTACCTTCCTTCTTCAGAACCTTGAAGATCTCTGGCCAGTTCTTCTCGTGGGCTCAATCCACTGAGGCCAAGAGCTTCCAGGTTGCTTCTTTCACTCAGCTCCCGTCTCCCCGTGTGGCAATCAACGACATGATCATGCAGAACGCAAGCGGTCAGCTGATGATGGAGATTGGTGGTCTTGAGGTCACTTCCCTGGGCCGCGAGATGCCAGAGGGCAGCGGCCCTCGCACCCTCTTCTACCAACAGAGATGGCAACCTTGCTTCGACTTGCTCGGCAACGCAAAGGGCAAGAGCCTCAGCGATATTGTCGACATCTTTGCACACCAGTACCCTGACAGCAAGATTCTTCACATCACCTCGGATGTCGAAAAGTCGAAGCATGTTCTCTCCGCCCTTGGCGGCACCAAGAGTGAGCGCCGCAGATTCCACAACATGGACGTGTGGTCTCTCAACGGTGCGAAGCTTGGCGAGGAGTTCGAGACCCTGTCCAACAACACGAACAACCTCGTGAACATTGTCGAGCCCCAGCCCGATAGCTACGATCTCGTCATCGTCAGCGAGACCGGCTCCATCAACGCTGTTCCTTTCATGAAGGACACCGGTTGCATCATCTTTGATGGTCAGAAAGGATCCGTTGCTGCCGACCTTTCCGAGGTCTTCTCTAGCCCGATCTGCACCGCTCTGCAGAAGAAGAAGACCGCGGCGCCCATGACTGGTCCCATCTCAGTCGTCATGCCCTCCGGTGACGTCTCGCCTCGTGCGCTGGCCATCTACAACGCTTTCGAGTCTGCTTTCGGCGGTCGCATCATCACAAGCACCTTCCCCGAGATTGCCGAAGCTGGTCTGTGTGCGGTGGCTGATGATGTTGTCGTTCTGGCTACACTGGACGAGATCATTGACAATGAGTCGATGTTCTCAGGTGTTCAGGCCCTTCTGGGAGCCATCCAGAAGAATGTCATCTGGCCTCTTGAAGGTGCTACCTTCGAGTCCGAGAGACCCGATCTTGCCATGATCATTGGTCTTGTCCGCACTGCTCGCAGCGAAAACGACTCTTCTCGCAACGTCACCTTCGACTTTGGCAAGAACACCGCTGCCGAGACTGTCGCCTCGAACATCCTTCGTGCACTTGACGCCAGCTTGACCGAGGATGAGCTCGCGGAGCGCAACGGCGTTGTCTACATCCCTCGTGTCGAAGCCGATGATGGTCGCAACTCCAAGCTCCGCAACGGACCTGCTCGTGAGCCTCGCTTGGAGGCTTTCGGTGAGCGTCGGCCTCTGAAGCTGACCTTCGGCAAGGTCGGTCTTCTTGACACGCTTCACTTTGCCGAAGACGAGGAGATTATTGACACCGAGCTCGCTGCTGATGAGCTTGAGATTGAGGTCAAGGCATCTGCCATTAACTTCCGTGATCTCGCTGCTTCTCTCGGTATCATCGACGACTACAAGCTTGGTGATGAATGCGCTGGTATCGTCTTGCGCGTCGGCTCCGAAGTCAAGGACTACAGCGTCGGTGATCGTGTGGTCGCCTGGAGACCTGGCCAGGGCGCTCACCGCGCCATTTGCCGCAACCCCGCCACTCTCTGCCACAAGATCGATGCCAACATGTCTTTCACCGATGCCGCTGCTCTGCCTTGCATTCTCACTACCGCTTACTACTCCCTTCTCGACACCGCCCGCCTTCAGAAGGGCGAGACCGTCCTCATCCACGCCGCCGCTGGAGGTGTCGGACAGATGGCTGTCCAGATTGCCCAGCGCGTGGGTGCCCGCGTCCTCGTCACGGTCGGATCCCCTGCCAAACGCCAGCTCATGAAGGAAGTCTACGGCATCAGCGAGGACTGCATGTTCTCTTCTCGTGACGACACATTCGCAGCCGGTGTCATGCGCGCCACGGATGGCAAGGGTGTTGATGTCGTCCTCAACTCCCTTGCAGGCAACCTCCTCAAGGAGACTTGGGGCTGCCTCAACGCCTTCGGTCGCTTCATTGAGATCGGAAAGCGTGACATTCACGAGAACACCAAGCTCGACATGTCTCCCTACCGCAAGAACGTCATGTTTGCCTCGGTGGATCTTATCACCATGTTCGAGAGGAACAAGTCGCTTGGCGCTCGTGTCTTCAGCGAGTGCTGCGAGCTGGTGAACAAGGGAGAGATCAAGTTGCCTGCTATCCTCGAGGTTTCTTACCAAGACGTCATCAAGGGCTTCCGTCTCTTGCAGATGGGCAAGCACGCCGGCAAGATTGTCCTATGCCCTTCCAAGGATGACATGGTCCCCGTCATGCCTACCAGCTTCCGCAACACCATGCTCTTCAGCTCCGAGAAGACCTACCTCCTTGTCGGTGGTCTCGGCGGTCTTGGACGAACCCTCGCACAATGGATGGTTCGCAAGGGAGCTACCAAGCTTGCCTTCCTTTCTCGATCTGGTGCTGACAAGCCAGAGGCTCAAGCCACCGTCGACTGGCTGGTGGAGCGTGGCATCGAGGCCACCGTCTACCGCGGCGACGTCGCTAAGCTTGCCGATGTGCGCGCTTGCGTGGAGGGCATCAGCAACCTCGGCGGTATCTTCCAGGCCGCCATGGTTCTGCAGGACGTCCCTCTCGAGACCATGAGCTACTCGCAGTGGAAGCGCTGTGTTGAGCCCAAGGTTCTCGGTGCAAAGAACCTTCACGAGGCCTCCCTGGGTGTTGACCTCGACTTCTTCGTGTGCTTCTCTTCCGTTGCTACGGTTCTCGGCTCCAAGGCGCAAGCCAACTACTCGGCTGCCAACGCCTTCCTTGACGCTTTCATGCGCCACCGTCGCGAGATGGGTCTTGCCGGTACTACCATGAACGTCGGCGCCGTCTCCGGTGTCGGTGTCGTCAGCGAGAACGCCTCACTTGCCAAGATCATGGAGCGCTTGGGCATGGACCCCATCAACGAGGAGGAGCTCCTTTACCAGCTCGAGGAGGCCGTCAAGGGTGACCGCAATGTCAAGACCACGGCCCGCGGCGTTGATGCCCACCAGATCATGACCGGTGTCGGTCTCATCAAGCCCGATGTCTACTGGGCGGCCAAGCCTCTTCTGAAGAACTTGTACTCCAACCACGACTTCGGTGGCTCCGGAGCTGCCGGCAAGAGCCAGAAGAACGTAATGGCTATGCTTCGCGAAGAGTCCGACCCTGAGAAGCGTACCGAGATTGTTCTCGACAACTTCCTCGACAAGATCGCCCAGGTCCTTGCCACTCCCAAGGAGTCCATCATTCCTTCCAACCCTCTGTCTGCCTATGGTCTCGATTCCATCGTCGCAGTCGAGTTCAGGAAGCACTTCCGCAAGGAGATCCAGGTGGACATTGCTCTCTTCGACATCTTGGGCGCCGCCAGCATTACTGCCCTCGTCCAGAAGGCTGCCAAGATGATTGTTCTCACTTCCGCCGCCAAGGAGGCCGGTCCCGCCGATGCAAAGGCGGAGAAGAGCAAGGGTGCCGATGCCGAGAGCGCGGAGAAGTCTGCAGAGACCTCTGCCATGGCCTCTGGCGAGATGACGAAGACCAAGACTTCTGCCGGTACTCCGATCGCTCTGTCTACCTTCCAGTCTCGTCTCTGGTTCGTCCACTCATTCCTGGAGGACAAGTCCTTCCTCAACCTGCCCATCGTCATGAAGATCAAGGGAAGACCTGACTTGGCCGCGCTTCGCACCACCATGTACGAGCTCGTCTCTCGCAACCCTTCCATGCGCACCAGCTACTTCGAGGGTGATGAGTTCGCCCAGCAGGAGATTCTTGAGGACTTTGATGTCGATGTCTCCTTCCGTGATCTCTCCGGTGAGGCCGACCCCGAGCAGGCCCTTGAGGAGTTCGTCAAGTACAACCGCAAGATCGAGATGAACGTCGAAGAGGTAAGTCTAGTGATACTCCAATCCTTACGAATCATACTGACAAGCATATAGGGCGAGGTTTCCAGCTTCTCGCTGGCCAAGCTTTCTGAGGACGACTGGGCCTTCATCTGCATGATCCACCACATCTCTATCGACAGAGGTAGCATGAAGGGCATGATGAGCCAGTTCGTTTCCCTCTACGATGCTACCGTTCAAGGCAAGGACCTCTCGACCGTTCCCTCGCCCGAGTTCTCCTACGTCGACTTCTCCATCTGGCACAACGCCCGTCTCGCCTCTGATCTTATGCGACCTGACCTCGACTGGTGGAAGGAGCGCCTTTCTGGCATTCCCCAGGCCAGCAAGCTGCTGCCCTTTGCCAAGTGCGAACGTCCTCAGCGATCTGACCCGCGCCGTCTGGCCCTCAAGACCAACTTGAACTCCAAGTTGTTTGCTCGCATGAAGCGTCTCGCCGCACAGGCCAACGGAACCCCCTTCCACTTCATTCTCGCTGCCTTCAGGGCGTTCCTCTTCCGCTACACTCAAGAGAAGGATCTCGTCCTGCTCATGGTCGATGGCAACAGGCCCCATACGGATGCTGAAGACATCAACGGATTCTTTGTCAACCTGGTCCCCATCCGAGTCGAGGATGACTGCGAGGGAGTGACCTTTGACCAGCTCTTTGCCAACTGCAAGCAGCGAGCTCTTGAGAGTTTGGCTCACTCTGGTGTTCCTTTCGACACTGTGGTCGATATCCTGGGCGCGAAGAAGACCCCCAGTCACATGCCCGTCGGCCAGATCGCCGTCAACTACCAGGTCAGTTGAACACCATGGCATCAAGCCTAATGCCTCTTACTAACAAGAAATAGATCCACGGCCCGACTCCCACATACTCTACCTCCGACTTCCAGATCAACAGCATGGTGACGGACGACATTCCCACTGCGGCTGACATGCAGCTTGAGGCACTTGAGACGTCTGACCACGCTCTGGACCTGCGCATCGAGTACTCCACCGCACTCTACAGCGAGGCAGATATGGAGCGCTTCCTCGACAACTTCCTCACCTTCCTGTCTGGTTGCATCAAGGACCACCGCCAACCCATCGAGGAGGTCGGCATGTGTGGCGAGATTGAGCTCAAGACGTTGGCAAACGAGTTTTGGAACACTGAGACCCGCGAGAACCAGTGGGAGGGAAAGAGCGTGTTGGTACGGAAATAAGCGTGTCCTATGAAACCTACAAAGTATTTTAGCTAATACTTTTTCTCTTTAATAAAGGACAAAATCTCCCAAATGGCACTCGAGCATCCCCAGAACACCGCGATCAAGACGTCTGACGGCTACAGCATCACCTACAAGCAATTGATCCAAGACGCGACCAGCGTGGCCTCGGAGCTTCTTCAAGCAGGCGTCAAGCCCGGTGACCGCATCGCATTGCTCGCTTTCCCCGGCGTCGATGCCATTGTCGGCCAGATTGCATCTCTCATGACCAGGAGCTGCTACGTCGCTCTCGACACCGACTTTGCTCAAGACCGTCTCTCCTTCATGATTTCGGACGCCGGTAGCCGGGTTCTTCTCGTTGGACCTGGAGCCGAGTCCCTTGCCAGTGACCTCACTTCCAAGGCTGTTGTTGCCCCCAAGGTTATCAGGATTACTGAAGCCGTCGGTGCTGTCAATGCTTCGACCCAGTTCAGCCCTCGCCAGCCCCAGGACCCTTTCTACATGATCTACACCTCTGTAAGTTGCAATCCTTCATCGAGTGGTACAAAAGACTAATGGGTTTTGCAGGGAAGTACCGGTACGCCCAAGGGAGTTCTCCTGACCGAGGAGAACACCCACCAGATGCTTGCGACCCTGAACAAGGACTACTGCTTCACTTCCAAGGATAGGTTCCTTCACCAGTCTTCCATGTCTTTCGATCTCTCGATTGTGCAGATTTACTCCGCTCTGACGGCTGGCGCGACTTGCCTGGTTGCTGCGTGGGAGACTCGCAAGGACCCTCATGGTCTCGCTTCTTTCATGGCAACCGAGAATGTCACGACCACCTACTTCACCCCGACCCAGTTTGCCCTCCTTCTTGATCTCAACACCGAGGCGCTCAAGAAATGCAACAACTACCGCGTCGCTTACTTTGCAGGAGAGAGATTGCCCGTCCGCGTAGCTCGCAGCTTCTACGACCTGAAGACCCCTGCGACTCTCTAGTAAGTAGAACGATATTTGCTGCAAGTATCTGAAGTCAAGGGCTAATCACATCGCAGCAACACCTGGTCCCCATCTGAGCTCATTGTCCAAACTTCCATCGCCAAGATTGAGTACCCCGCTGATGGCGAAGTCAGCCTGCCCATCGGCTTTCCCATGGACAACTGCCGCCACTACATCCTCGATACCAAGGGAAACCCTCTCCCCGCTGGCATGGTCGGTGAGCTGGTCGTAGGTGGTTCCCAGGTCGGTGCCGGCTACCTCAACCGCCCCGAGATCAACGCCAAGTCCTTCGTCGAGAACCCCTTCGCCAGCGTTGAGGATCGCAAGAGAGGCTGGACTAGAATGTTTAAGACGGGTGACCGTGGCTGCTTCCGCACTTCTGACAAACAGCTTGAATTCCATGGCCGTATTGCCGGTGACAAGCAGATCAAGCTTCGTGGCTTCCGCGTTGATCTCGGCGAGGTCGAGCAGCGCATCTTCCAGGAGTCGCAGTCGCAGCTCGTTGATATTGCCGTCATTGCTCGTACCGTCGAGGCCGGCCAGGAAGACCTTCAACTGATTGCCTACGTGGTGCCCAAGAAGGCACTCAGTGCCGCCGAGAAGCAGACATTCGTCTCGACCATCCACCGCAAGATCAAGCCCCATCTCAACGGTATGTGATCTGATGCCTTTCCACGACGAAAATATTTCTAACACTCGTCACAGATTACATGCTCCCCAACGCCTACAACTTCCTGACCAAGCTGCCTGTGACCATTGGCGGAAAGGTCGATCGCCGCAATCTCCTGAGCAGAGATCTTGAGCTTCTCTACCCGACAACTGCTACTACTGCCAAGCCTACTGGCGCAGCCAACGGCGCTTCTTCGAGTGCTGGCGACCTCGAAACCTCTGTCATGGGTCTCTTCCGCGGTATCCTGGGGGACAAGTACTCTGATGTGAACGACAACTTTTTCCAGCGAGGTGGTCACTCGATCCTCCTCGTCCGTCTCCAGGCCAAGATCAAGAAGCAGTACAAGATCGCGCCCACTCTGCCCCAGATGATCAAGGAACCCACCGCAGCCGCTGTTTGCGCCTTCATCCGCCGCAACAAGGGCGATGGTTCCGGCGGTAAGGCGGGGTTTGAGAACGTCATTAGCTGGAATGTCGAGACCAAGCTCCCCAACGATGGCCGCTACATCCCGCGATACGGCGCCCCACGCGTCGACCGTGACGAGCTCTCCAAGTTTCTGATTACCGGCGGCGAGTCCTTTATCGGACTTCACTTGCTCGCCGAGATTCTGACCAGCAAGCCGAATGCCACCGTCTACCTTCTCGGATCGATGGAGCGAATCGAGACCTCCGTCGTCGTGAGCGAGCTGGCCAAGTATGGCCTCATCAACGACCACAGCAAGAAGGGCGTCGTCTTGACCGAGAAGGACGTTCTCGGCCGCATCAAGATCGTCCCCGGCACCCTCTCGCAGCCCAGCTTCGGCCTCAGCAAGTCAGCCTTCCGCATCCTGGGCCAGACCGTTGAATCAATCTACCACCTGGGCGGCCACGTCTCCCTTCTCAAGACCTACTCCTTCCTGAAGCCCGTCAACGTTGCCCCCATCTTCGACCTCATCCGCCTCGCCGGCACGGGTGACCACCTCTCCGAGATCCACTACCTCAGCACCTGGTCCGTCGCGCACCTGCAGTCCTGGTCCCAGTCCAAGCGCACCCGCACCGAGTACGTCACGGCCGAGGAGGACATGTCCCACTTCCAGCCGCCGACCGAGGACGAGTTCGGCTACTTCAAGTCCCGCTGGGTCGCCGAGAACCTCCTCTGCCACGCCGCCTCCCGCGGTTTCCCCGTCACAATCACCCGCGCCTCCGCCGTCACGGGCTCCTCCCACAACGGCAACCTCGACCCGGCCGACGAGTTCACTCTCCGCATGATCCTCAGCATGATCGAGTCCGCCAAGGTCCCGCAGATCGGCCAGCCCAAGCAGCCTGGCTTCGCCGTTGACGTCGTGCCCGTGGATTACCTCGCCCAGGGCTTCCTCGCGCTCACCTCAGAAAAGGAGGCTCTCACCTCCAGCCCAGCCAACTACAACAAGCCGCACATCTACCACATTGGCAACCACTCGCCCCTCAAGCTCGCCGACCTGCCCGAGATCGTGGCGACGCTGCGGCCCGACGGCAAGCGCGGCGAGGTCGTCTCGCTCGACGAGTGGCTCACGTCCATGGACAAGGGCAACGCCGACGAGGCGGCCGTGCGCAACACCGTCCTGAAGGAGTACCTCGCGACGGGATACGTCATGTTCTCGCTCGACAACAGCAAGACGGCGGCCTTGTTGGAGAACCTGGTGCCCGGGCTCGACGAGAAGTGTCCTGCCGTGGACGCCGCGTTCCTTGGCCAGCTTTGGCAGCGGATTAAGAAGGCCGAGGCCGGGGCTCAGGCGTAAAGGTGTGAAGAGTGCCCGTGATGAATGGGCCTTGAACCCTCTGCTTGGCGTGTGAGATCTGAGGCTGAAGAACACGATGGCTGGTTGGTTGGGTGTATTATATTGCGCGGGTGGAGGTTGTACGATATACGGCTGTAGCTTTCCTTTCTTTTGTACTTTCTTTTGTGTCTGGATAATCCCAAGACTGTAATGTTTTTTTGTATTAATATCTAGACTGTACTTGTATCAGGGCTAGACGGTGTTGTCTATTTTATCACTAGAATTAGATTGTAAAATGATGTTATCTTGTACCATCTTTGGCTTGAACTTTTCCATGACATGTGAGCCTGTGAGCTATAGAGTGTACCCTACCTACCTAGATATATGCTCATCTCCCAAGAAGATGAGCATGGAGGAAAGCGAAAAGGTACGTACCTTTCCAGGGTCTGCAGAGGTACCTACCTAAATTGAGCGGGGTGGCGGGGTCTTCTCGGTGTGGTCGGTGAGCGATAAGCGCATGGGGACCCACTGAAATTTTCTTTGGGTTCCAGGTTCCTTTCGTTTCCCCGTCGCCTTCGCAACAGCTGCTTTTTCCCTTCTTCACCGTCGCCCGAGTTGAAGGATTCGAGGCCGGAACACTCGCCACATTTACCCACGCACTATCTACGACCTTTCTATCAGACGAGATAAGGAAGTTCTAGGAAACGGTTTGAGACAACGACCGCTTTTCCTTAACCTTTTCCTCCACCGCGAACGAGAAAAGAACTTCGAAACCACATCTCCCGAGAACAACGTCCCCGACCAGAACCAAACGACACACCTACACACACACGAAGATGGCACAAGGCGGCGTCAAATCCGCATCGCGCCCCGCGCCGACGGGCAAACCCAAGAACAAGCAGCTCAAGAACGCCTCGCGCGTGGCCAAACCCCAAAAGGCCAAGGCACACTCCTCGGCCGACAAGATGCAGAAGAAGATGGCCGCGGGGCTGACGTCGCGGACGGAGAAGCTGCTGGGCGAGAGGGCGGGCCACCTGGAGCTCATTGGCAAGGGGAAGAAGGCGAAGAAGGAGGAGAAGAAGGGTAAGGGGGGGTTGCAGGCTACCAAGGGCGGGAGTCGCAAGTATGGTTAAGACTTGTCCACTCTTGAGAGACTTCGCAAGGAGTTTTTCATGGGGAGTGGGGGTGATGGTGCTCCCTTCTGTGGCCTTTTCTTGTGGAGGAAAGGCTTTGCACAGTAAGGGAAGGATGGATGGATGGATGGATGGATGGAAGATGGCCAGAGGCTGGACGGGCATGAAGCCGGATGAGCACAACTGAGAGTTGTGAAGAAAATAGTTCCAAGGTGAAGCCTAGCGTTCTAGAATGAGGCTACAATTACGAAAAGGAAAGGGGGTTTAACGACTAGATACCCTCGCATAATCGACAAATATGTTTTCTGTTCCAAAACCAACTGTCGCAATCCACAAGTGCCGATACCTTCGGCGAAACTCATTTAGTTTTGGAGTTAGAAAGAGTGAGGGATGGTCCAGAAGGACCACGTAGAAGCACGGTGGATAAACACTTGGGTCCACTTCAAGCGTACGGAAATCCAGTGTAGCCACCCGATCAAGGCAGGTTGCACGATCTGTGGCCCTCAAATACCACCTGGGACGGCAAGATGCTCACTCTGTCCCTTTCACGACAACGCTATTGGTGTTGAGAAATGCATGTGCCAGCCGACGCGAAGAGTCGCCCGGGGCAGCGCCATAAAGTTGCGGGAAGCTGGCCGATCTTTCGGCTTAAGAATCTTCTAGCTGATACACGACCAAGTGTGGTTCATGAAAGAATGCTTTGAAAAAAGGGGAATCAAAAGCTGACTCGAACGCGTGGCCTTTCTCAAAAAAACAAGCTATCCATGGCATTATGTAGGACCGTGAGCCAACATACGATAGAATCGTACCGCTTGGCCATCGACTACAACGGACGGTGCTTGTTGAGAGGCACTCTGTCCCTGGCACCTATGACTGATCGGATGAGAGCCACCAGGGTGCGTGAGGCAGGAAGTATTGATCCACTTGGAGGAATACTCAAAAGCCAAGGCAGGACAATGAGTGCGATCTTTGGCATGACAACCTTTCATTCTAATTTCGACGTTGTCGAGGAAGCTGCCAGCGGCCATGGCGGACTCGTGCGTGATATCTGTCCCGGTTGAATACATGTCTAAGTATTTGAATTGAATAAAGCTTTCAATATCGTACAGCTTGAAGAAACCTCAAAATGCCGTATATGTTGGCGAGAAGAAACCGTGGAAACTAGCAGTGGAGAACATTTCTGACCATCTAGCATGGAATCAAAGACGACCGCAGCTATAAGAATACGTGATGACGGCTGGCATGTAGAGAGCGGGTCAACTCTTCCTGATTGACGCCTGCCGAACCGACCTTGCTGAGAGTACCTAGAGAATGACGCGGATTGGTGTTCCGGGCATATCCCCGGCTTCGGCGCCGCTGAATCCGGAGTGGGGCCCGACGAGAGCTATCATTATCATCGTGCACTGGCCCACCACTGTAACCCCGCGTCCCCGCAGTCATCGCTAACCGCCTAATTCCATCGTAAACCGCCGGCGACTCAAGAAACCCCCCATCACCACACCGGAGCCGACCGACCGGAGGGAACACCACGGATGCCTGCCTATCTCGTCGACACCGAGTCCACATCTTCGGAGCCTTGAACGATATCTCATAAAGCTCAATCCCGCCGTTACTCAACTCACCACCTTCACCCTCTCTCCCCGCTTCTCGCGCCCTCTTATCTCAGTGTTCACAAAGAACCCCGCATCATCCGCTCAACATGTCTCTCTCAAACGAAGATTGGGAGGAGCTCCGCCAAGACATCCCATCCGTCTCTGACCCGTTCATCACACAGTACATCAAAGGCCGTGACGCCCTCATCGCCCAGGAGCACAAGAAGCGCGCCGACGCCTCCTTCAAGGACGCCGCGTCCCCCATTGCCCGGCGCGCAGCAGACATCGTCTCCCGCATCCGTGACGAGGAGAAGAGGACGATATGGAACGCCCAGACGGAGGAGGACCTCGCCACCACCGAAGGCCTGGCGCCCTTCCCGGGCATGATGTTCACACTCGCCAAGCAGCGCCTCGAGACGACCAGACTGTGGCGCATCGTGCAGAGGATGCCAAAGGGTTCGCTCCTTCACTCACACTTGGACGCCATGGTGGACTTTGACTTTTTGTTCGATGTCCTGCTCAAGACGCCCGGGATTCACTTTGCTGCGGACGAGCCCCTGTCCAACGAGTCGGCGAGGTCGAATGCTAGCGTACATTTCCGCTACAGAAAGGCGGAGACGAGTTCAAAGCCCGTCTGGGAGGATGGCTATGTCCCGGGCGAGTTTCGTCTGTTGACCACGGCGGCGGATGAGTATCCCGATGGCGGCAGGACGGGGTTCCTCAAGTGGCTCAAGGCGCGCTGCACAATCACCTTGACGGACACGTATGAGCAGCATCACGGCATCGATGCTGTCTGGCGCAAGTTCACCTCGTGCTTTGGCGTCACCAACACCATTATTCACTACGAGCCAATTTTCCGTGCCTTCCTCAAGAGATTGATGGCGTCTCTGTTGGCAGACGGCATATACTGGATCGAGCTGAGGTAAATAAATCATCCTTGTCACACATCGAAAGGCGATGTACTGACCCCGAATAGATTCACTTGGCCGCTCAACTACTGCCGCGACCAGCAAGAAGAACCGGAAAAGGACTACAACCACATGTTCCAAGTAATGGAAGAAGAGCTCGCCCTCTTCAAATCCGACCCGGCCCACGCCGCCTTCTGGGGCTTCCGCACCATCTGGACCACCATCCGCCACCTCCCCGTCCGGGACATCATCGAGAGCATGGACAACTGCATCACCACAAAAATCTCCTGGCCCCACCTCATCGCCGGCTACGACCTCGTCGGCCAAGAAGACCTCGGCCGGCCCCTCCGCGACCTCCTCCCGGAACTCTTCTGGTTCCGCAAGCAGTGCGCCCAGGAAGGCGTCAACCTCCCCTTCTTCTTCCACGCCGGCGAGACACTCGGCGACGGCGACGAGACGGACCAGAACCTCTACGATGCCATCCTCCTCGGCACGCGGCGCATCGGCCACGGCTTCTCCCTCTACAAGCACCCGCTGCTCATCGACATGGTCAAGGAGAAACGCATCCTCGTCGAGTCGTGCCCCATCTCCAACGAGGTCCTCCGCCTCTGCGGCTCCATCATGTCGCACCCGCTGCCCGCGCTGCTCTCGCGCGGCGTCTCGTGCGCGCTGTGCAACGACGACCCGGCCATGCTGGGCCAGGACACGGCGGGCATGTCGCACGATTACTGGCAGGCGCTGCAGGGGTGGGAGAACGTCGGCCTGCTCGGGCTGGGATCCATGGCGGAGAACAGCGTGCGGTGGTCCGCCTTTGAGGACGAGACGCCGGCGGAGTGGACCGAGGGGATCAAGCAGGCGAGTCTGGGCTCCGGCGTCAAGGCGCAGAGGCTCAAGTTGTGGGAGACGGAGTGGGAGAAGTTCTGCCTTTGGGTCGTGGATGAGTATGGTGACGAGGCGGACAAGGCGTGAGGGTCAAGAGTGTAGCGATTTTCTGTGAGGAGGTGCCGTCCAGTGGACTGTGATAGTACTCTGGACGAAGTTACATCCTTGCTTTCAACAATTGGGACGGCGCGGCGTGCGGGGGTTGGTCGCGGAGGGAGAGGGCGTCTGAATGCGAACGAGGCAAACGCAAAACCGGGTTATCGGCACGGGCGAAACGGGGATATGGGAAACAATGGAATTTTCAACAGAGCGCCATGATTATTGGCTGAGGGGTTCAAACGGGAAGGGCTTGCATTCAACACCGCGGATACATCATTAAAGGGCATTCAACGCGGCTCTGGGATTGAGGGAGAAATAGACAACGGGGAGGGGGAGGGGTAAGGGGTTTAGAACCGAGTGTGCGGTTAGACTACAACCTTCCGAAAAGGGGAGGGTGGAGGGTTTTTGGCGGTCCATATTAGCCCTCCAATATCACTATTGCGAACCATTTTTCCTTTTGGCTAGTTCGGAGTGATGTCGGCAGTTTCAAGGGTTGACTGGACGATGGATGTAGGTCGCCGTCATGAGGCTAAAGTTTGCAAAAGGTCCCGAGGCATATCAAAATACCATACTTTTACGCGCGTGCAGTTTCTCATCACCACTTCCTCCCTCCGTCCGGCTGCGCGGCCTAAGCTACCGCTTCTGGATAACCGTAACAGAGCCGGGGGGTCTCATCTGCTTTTCGCCGGCATATTAGGAACGATATGCAGTGTGACGGGAAGGATGGGCAGTGACCAATTAAAGGCTGTTACCGCGCCGCCGGAGCTGCTGGCGAAAAGGGTAGGTCGGGTGTAAGCATCAGCCATCAGCAGTAGCAGATTCCGGGATCTTGGAAATAACGAGACGCATGCTACCTTGTAAGGCGAATTTGAGGGACAGAGTTACCTGGCACCTGGGGCCGGTTGCATCTACCGAATCGATCCTGGTCTCTCAAGAGGCTGGAGCATGTATCTTGGACAGCGTAGGTTGTGCTAGTACACAGGTTCAACTACGTTGTGCCTTGGGCTTTCGCGTCGGGGGTTGAACCCCTTTTTGGGGCGAAGGATGCATGCGTTCTCTACGATGATACCCTCCAGATCACTACACGCTGTCATCTTACTGGGCCGATGAGGCCTCCTTTCCCTAGGGTCGCCTCGCTGCAATCTCGAGTACCAGGGTTTTGGGATAGCAGTTTCTTGTACGTTTGTCGAGGATAAGTGGCCATTCTTCGCGATATTGGAGTGAAACGTAGCTGTAGAGGAATCGGGGAATGATACTGTTGTATAAGGCAAGGACTCAGTAGTCCAACAACGATCCGCGATAACCTGGCCCGTTACGTGGGTTCGGATCTGGTGTCCAGGTACCTTGGAGATACTATTTGAGATGGTCCAATTCAGTCGGATTAGAATAGAGATGGTAGGCTAGAGCTACAATGAGAAAGTGTCCCGTGACAATGATTAAACAGACAAATGCCCTTGGCACAATACAAAGCGAAGAGAAAGTTGCCGTCTATGATCCTGGTCCCCAGTTCGATTCGAGCCACGACCTGAAACTGACTGGTCGAAAGTCGACGGCTTCGTTCAGGTTCGCCTGGCGAAAGTCATACCGCCCATCTGCCGTAGCTATCAGACGCTGGATATTCCACCACTGGCTCCAGTTCTGTCGCTGCTCATAGTGTGTAAGCTCGCTCTGGAGCTTCGAGTACTTTCGAGTACGCAAGGTGAATGCCACTATCATTTAATTAGCCCAGAACTCTCAGGTAGAGGGAGGAAATATCACTCACCACCTCTCACGTTACTGCACTTTGCAAATATGTCTCGAACCGACATCCTGTCCCCTCTCATCTTGAACTCGCGGGGCCACGTGCCCGGGCCCAGCTCAATGGCGGCGGCAACGAATCGGGCCACGTCGCCGACGGAGGTCATGCAGACTTGTACAGGCCGTCCAGAGCCATTCGTCTCAACAATATCCGCGGACGCGTTTCCGACATCGACGAGGTAAACCCCCTGGCTCCCAATCGTAGCGCGTGCTCCCATGCCGTACTCCGCCAACCCGCCCGGCGCAAAGCGCTCGTACAGGACGCCGCAGGAGAAGATCGTGTACTCCATCTTGCGAGACTTTGAACTGGCGCAGTGTTTCAGTAGCTCGATGGCTTCGGAGGAGCCATAGTCGAGTGGGTCTTGGCCGGATGATGGGCGGTGGGATATCGAGCCTTCAAACTCTGCGGGGACGAAGAGGCGGACGCGGGAGTGGCGCGCGGCGTGGATGACGTTGATTTGTTCTTGGCCGCGTATTGTTGAGATGACGAGGTCGATGCCCTTGAGGGCGAAACGGAGGCTTTCGGCATCGTCGTAGTCTACTACCGCGACTTGACAGTCGTAGCGCTCCTCCAGCTCTGGTTTTGACTGCGGCCTTCTTGTTAGTGACCTGATACACTCACATTTTCTTCCTTGCTTACTTCTCTTGATAGAATGATGACGGGGTTCGCTGTTTGCGTGATGTGATGGGCTAGGATAGCTGCGAAGCCTCCACCACCCACGATAGCTATTCTCATCATGACCGTGGTATGTAGCGTGGGAAACAGATCGAGACTGATGAGAGTTAGTGTTCAGGATTCGGATCTGTTCAGGTTTTGTAATTTATCTTTCACCACTACTAAGTTTCAGAATCGAACTTGCCTCGAATACGTTCATTCTTGTAATGAGATTGCCATGGTAGACGACGGAGAGTGCCGATGTACAGCCCACACCACTAGAGTATGTGCGAAGTGACTCAAAGACGTTATTGGGATACGACTGGCTGTTTCAATACAAGGCAACAACAAGAAAAGGTCCATACGAGCATATCCGTAGCCAATCCCGCGTTCAAAGCCGAAGCTCTAGCGACTAGAGGTCAAATTCGAATTCGATAGGAGTCGACAGTTGACGTGGACAGGAGACGATTCTCTCGTCTCGACGTTGTAAGCCAAGAGAACAGAGAGACGCCTTGAAGTGACTTTAAGAAGGTGGTGGGGTCCGAGTTTGCGTTCAAGTTCACATCGACATCGTAATCGAGGGTGACGCCTGCTGACTTGCAGACCGGTGAAGGCAGCGGATAGAGAACAGCTGGACTAGCGGAAAGCAATCGACTCCTACGGAGACGGAAATCGACTTTCCAAAGGCGGCCTTCACAGGGTGTACCTAATGCCAATACTGTCAATAGGACGTTGAGAGTGCCGTTTAGCATACGCCACAGGTACCTGACTGCGTGGGGAAAAGGCGCAGTACCGTGGGCCGGTGTCCCAGATGACCGGGTAGCAGGACGGCTAATTTCATCCCGCTGCGGCACGGCTGCGGGTATCAGAGACACCTCGTATCTTGCTTCAGATCTTGATACGAATAGCGATTTCCGTTCCTGAATCTTGTCGTTTTCGTTGGTTACATGAAAGTACGAGTTCACGTTGACTAAAGAGAGAGATGGACGAGACCCAGACTCAATGGAACAGAAGATGATGACTTTGGTTCGCGTACAACAGGAAACGAGTACTTTGCGTCAAAAGATGGAGGTTCAAGGTGGCGAAGATAGTCCAGTAGTTTGCAGAGATATCATTGTTTCCCGGGGTGGGTTGGGTGGGGGGCCGGAGCCAAGCATGTGAGCAGGAAACGACGGTCTCCAGGTTGAACTCGACACCCGAGGCAGATGACCCAGTCCGCCTACATGTTCGATATGCTGCCTCAATGGATGATTACAATGCGCCTTACAAGCTGGTGTGGTGTGAGAATCTCCGCCTTGGACTTTCCTCTATCGAATGGGAGGTTCCAGCTCGGGCTTCACGGCGAAATACCTCCACCTCACCGAGCCTCATCCGGGGGGATGAAACAAGGTCAGCGCTGTGAAATAATCAGGATTGTAGAGTAATGTAACGGCAGCTAGCGTAGCAGTGCCGTAGCTGTGCAGATGATTGGGAACCTGGCGACCTCGAGTCGAAAGAGATTCGAGTCGAAATGGACGACGTGCCATTCAAGGGTGCCATTGGCGCACACCCCTGCCCGGGAGAACAGGCTACCCTGCGCAAGACTCAGCCACGAGACCTGGGTGCCTAAGTCGTAGCATTGAATGACAATTGAAAGTACTCGAGCAAAGACTTGCAATCGAGAAGAGTATCTGGTGGCATGGCGACCCAGAAGTAGGTACTTCGATGAAGGAGGGGGAGTTGAGAGATCGAGGTGGGGTCCGTTTCGGTACGTATTCTCATCCAATCGTTCAGCCCTATGCATGTGTGCCTCAGGATATTCTTCGGGGATCGCACGCTCCAGTCGCACGAACAGTCAGGGGGACCCTCAGCGAAGCCGTCTTCCTCCGGGCATCATCAACCAGGAACCACTCATGTATCTTCATCGATCACCCGGCAGGAACCGGACTGGGCCCAGCCGCCTCGTAATTGCTCATTGCGTACCTATCTTGGCATGTCAAGACAGCAATGCCTATACGCCTAGTCATGCCCATCGGCAAGTCAACTTGACTAAGGCCGTTGACGGCATTTTACCTGGGCAGACTGATCTGAGAACTACTACACCTTATCCCGCCATTGGATTGAACCCTGAAGTGGCGAAAACGTCTCATGAGGACCAATGTTCTAGCCGATGGTACATATGGTTCGCCTGTAACTGTCACTTCATGATGTGACCCTGCCAGTGAATATGTTGTTGTTCTAGTAGGTTGTACGACCTGCAATTAGTCACCAGATTCCATCGCTTAGCAATATGACATTCTGCAAATTCACAGAGAAGGTTAAACGCGGTAGATGAGGACCATCAACTTGATTTGACGTGGTGATTACCTTTCTGGGCAAGACTAAACCTTTCGCCCCGAAGAAAACCTTGGGATAGCGAGCTAATTCGTCGCTCCGTGTGCGTTGACGTTTACGCAATCCCTTCGTATAAAGCATTTACTATCTTTAGATGGATAATTTGCTGGAATTAGTCTATGTTAACAAAACGGCTGAGTTTTCATGGTGCGCTACGTAATGCCGATACGATGACTAGGAAAGCAAGAGGAAGGTGGACTGAATCTATCATTGCGTTTCTTAGTGATCCAATGCTTAGGACACGCCTCGCCGTGGAATGCTTGATACAACCAGTCCATCTCTTAGTCCCGCATGCGTCACGAGGTGATGGAATACTGGAAGTAGAACAATCCATTCACGGAAAGCCTAGGTGCAAAGAACCCCCTTTACTAGAGCTTACTGGCTCGTTGACTCTTGTCCTTAATCGTGACCACAACGAAGTCGCACCCACGTCCACCAATGAGAGAAAGGGGCCGCTGTTTATCGAATTGCTCCCGTGATTCACACATG